TGTTTTTTGTTTTGTTTTGTTTTGTTTTTTACTTTCTTTAAAACTCTGTTACAGCTTGTTTTCTATAAGTCTATCTTTCATACAAGGAGAGCAGGGCTTGGCTCCTTGGAGCAGTGCTTGGCAAGCACAGAGGCAGGAAACGCAGAAGGGAATGAGTCTGTCAGACTCATTTTCTTCTAGTTCAAATGTTTATTTCAGATTCGGGAGGAAGTGGAGTGGTTCCTTTCCATTTCCTAATCTTTGGAACCTACAAATTGTATAAGGCTTAGGGACTGGCATCTACTGCACACCATCCTCAGCAGCTCACAGATGGAGACTCTTCCAGAAACCCCCATTTGAATAGAGCAGAGTGCTTAGCTCTCTTAAGTCCTCATAGTACAGTCTTGTATGGTTTTAGCCTGGAACCCTGAGATGGGTAACTGAGAGCGCTGTTGAAGGCTCAGGAACATCCCATCCCTGCTCCCAAGGGGCAAAGGTCATGACGTGGCTCACCTTAGCCCCTAGCCCTGCCAACATGGCACACCTGAGGCTTCTGCTCAGGGAGGACAGTCTGATATAAGGTTTGACTGCCTCAAGGTGGGATCTTGTCACAAGCCCACTTTCTAAGTTCCTGAGACATACTGCATCTGACACAAGGATGGTATTTCAGAAGCAAGATTTAAAATATACCTGTTTTAGGAAGGAGCTCATTTCAACCTTAAACCCATGGACTTTTCTAATACATTCTCTGATCTCTCTAAATTTTTTTTTAACATTAATCAACTCACCAGCTCAGCTCTGCAGCTTGTATTACTGTCTATACAACTGACACAGGTCATTTCTAATGCCAAACAGAGACCATCAGACACCAAACTAGAAAATCTTGTGGTAAATTTCCTATTAAACTCTAACAGATGTGCATGCCTCAAACTGTAGGCATCAGGACCAAAGTATAATTTTTGGTACAAATTACTTATTGAGATTATTTGTAAACAGAAGCCTTCAACAAAGGTGAGACCTTATGATGTTTAACATTATCCTGATTATCCGGTAGCTGGGCAATTCATAAAGAAACCAAACACTGTAAGTACACCAATAACAGGTTGCTGAAGAAATTTACCAAATCAGAGTACTTGATCTGGTCACATTGGTTTTGTCAAAGAGTTTTAAAAAATAAAAATTTGACTCCTTATCTCTATTTATAATTTAGAGGTTTTTTTAGTTGTACTATTATTTGGTATCTACTGATCACAGTTCACTAAGATCTGTTTGCACAAATACATATCCTTATTACAGTAATATTTAGACTTGCATATATTTATATTTGCACATTCACTAGTAAAAAGTAGTTTTTATATTATATCTACCATGTTCCAGAGGACTTAAAAATTAATTAACCCTTCCATATGTTGGAATTCCCTCCTGACAGTCTATTTTTTTTTTTTGGTTTTTTTGTTTGTTTGTTTGTTTTTTTGTCTTTTTGAGACAGGGTCTCCCTGTAGCTCCAGCTGTCCTAGAACTCACTATATAGACCAGGCTGGCCTTGAACTCACAGAGATCTGCATGCCTCTGCCTCCCAAGTGCTGGAACTAAAGGCGTGCACTACCACGCCCGGCCCATCCCATCTAATTTTTTAAAAATCCTCTTTACTAGTCATTATTAAATAAGGCATGCTAACTGTAAGTACAGTAAAATAATCCTGTTTTTTTAACCAGGAAAAATCAAAACAAAAAGAAGAAAAGATAAGCGCCATAGAGCTTACAAGGAGCTAACCTTTCTACTAGGAAGATATTTTCACTGGAGTACACCATAACCTCGCTATGCCAAGTCATGCACTTTCACACACAAAATTACATTGTATCGAATTTAAATTTGTTACAACTGCCATGTACATTAAACCAATGATAACAAATATGTAACTCAATATCTGATCTAGTGAAACAGCAACCAACATTAGCTCAAAGCCACATGAAGACACTCTCCAGCCATTACTGGTGTCAGCTAACCCTCAGCCAGTTTGTCTTCTCCAGCCATTTTTAAATAAATATGTGACTATCATGATTAGGAAATCTTGAAGGAAGTCTCTGGGTGAGGCAATTTTGTTGTTCATTCTCAGTACTCTGCATTTGCTGAACTTAAAATAGACACTTGTACCAATGTCCTTTCTATTACCCAAAGGAGAAAAAAAAAAAATCACACACACACACACCAGTCCCTTTTCTTTCAGCTCACAGAGAGGCAACTCGATCTAACCAGTGTTGAAACCTGAGTAGGTCACTGTACACCACGTTGAAATTCCCTAATCCCTGGGCCAAATCTCCCTAAGGGGGGCCTCCCCCTGATCCTCCACTTCCCAGGCTGACTTTTCCATTGCTCTCTCCTCTTTCCCCCTTCATTTCCCCTACCTCCAAGCCTTGATATGTGATCTGAGGTGGGGGCTCAGGTTTCCGTTTTTACAGCTTAGGCCGCACTAGCTGTATACATTCCTTTCTTTCTGCAGGGCAGTGATTACTTACCAGGGCTTAGTTTACACTGGTCCAGATGAAAGCCGACTGATGAAGGCAAACACAGCCGGGCAGCTCCAGAGGCACTGATATGAAGCTGTACAAGGCTACATTGTGTTCTCAGTGACATTCTGTTGCACACATTTTTATACAGGGCAACCAACTTGTTATGTTACCCTATACTTCAGTTCAGGAAGCCTGGGGATAATAATACCATGGGGGGTGGGGAGGGGTTTTGTATTGTGATTATTAACATTAAAAGCAGAAAAATATCAACAAGTTTGAAATAACCCTTAGACTCTGAGAAACAATTTTTATAAATAAGGATTTTTTTGGGGGGGTGCTGTTATATTAGAGGAATGTCAACAAATACACTAGACACACTGGCATGGTGCACATGGACAGGACCGGAAATTTTGGCCAGGGACTCTCACATTGTTCCAAACCAGAGAGAAAATGCCGATCCTACAGACAGCTGAATTATGTGCAGCTTTAAAACTTCTTGTTTAATGCTACTATGATTAAAGCAAGAATTAAAACTTCAAATAGTAGAAAGTGCTTTAGAAGAAAAAAATAACATGTTGAAAAGAGGAAATTCTGAGCATCCAGGTTAATTCCATACTCAGTCCTACAGCATTGGCTGAAAATTGTGTAATTTTTCCCCTTCACACAATGTTGTTTTTGTTTCTTCCTCACCAGTTCAGACAAACATCTGTTATACTGTAGAAGGACAACTATCTCCCAAACCACGGAGTGAGCCTGCAGCCAAAGTCAACAACACCAGCCCCGAGCATGAAGCACAGTCAGCCTTTATATCCAGCCGGGATAACATTTCACATGTTTTGATTAAAATTAGCTAATTTGTAATTCTAGAACCTATGAAACTTAAAAGCTGCCATCCATATAGATCGTATTAGGCAGCGTTTTAAAGGGCCAGCGTATGCTGTGATTTCCTAATGGCCTTCCCTTCTCTCCTCTTGCCTCACTCTCAATTTAAACCGCATGGAAAAGTAATCTGGAAACACAGGACAAGAGGGAGAAGGGCAAGTGAGGAAGGATGGTTACTGTAGAGCAAATTCCACTCTGGAAGGAAAACAACTTTAACTGGTCTTTTCTTCTTCTTTTTAAACTATCATTTTAAACTACCAACGGTGGTTTTTATTACAAGGAATGGCATTGATTTCCAAGACAAACTGTTCTTATTTCTCCTTCAGACTGATACCTCATGCTTCCAGACACTAAGTTCTTCACCCCAAAATAAAAGCCCTTGTTCCAAAATTTGAAACAACACGGATACCTCAGGGAGAGATGAAATTGGCATGTACACCTAGTTATGCAAACATGTAAGGAGTGTGTCCGTTGTCCCCTTATAGGCACGGACTGCATACAAAGCACTCATGAAATATGCTTGTTATAATCAAGATGCCAAAATTTAGTAAAAGTGACTTAGTCGCATACCATCCAAATACAAATTTAACCAAAGCTGACCAAATCACCTGACAGTATTGTGGGTTCTATGCAGAAGACGGGGACACCAAGACGCACAAAACGCAAACCTACTTTTCTTGTAACTCATAAAACAAAACTGGATACGTAAAATGATTTTTTTTTTTAAATCGAGAGCCTCGAGATCTTCGCCCCCCGCAAACCTGCAACTTAGAGGAAAATAAGGGAGTGGGGACGACGAGAGAGGTCCTAGGCTGAGCGATGTTCCTGGGACAACAGCTTCAGTGCGAACAGCTGGAGCGCCAGGAGGCTGCGCTCGCCACCTCTGGAGTACCGCTGGCCTGGCGGGGAGCCCGGCCTTGCTGGGAGGACTCCGGGCTGGCCTTTCCGAACAATGGGTAGGCGGCAGCGAAGGCCGCTGCGCACACAGCCAGGCTGTGCCGGGCTTGCCGGGTCGGCTTAACTGGAAAGTGAGGCGTACAGAGGCGAGCAGCGGAGAGGAGCGGCCCGCGGCGGGGAGGCGAGCCCGCGGGCAGGATCCTCTCCCTACCCCTCCGCAAGCCCCGGGCACTGACAGCCGCGACACTGTAGCAGCTGGAGACTTGGAGCGAAGCGAGATCTTGAAACCAGGGATGAACTGGGGAGGAGGGTGGAATCCAGACATCCTGGTGCCTCAGCCGGGCGGCTCCTAACTTTGGAGGGGTCCCAAGGCTGATTCTCGAAGAAGGGGGAAAAACCCTACACCGCCCACTAGGAAAGCCTCCACGCCATGCTCTCTCGCCACTCGGGTCTGGTGCCCTCGCCCTGAAACATCTGTGCCAATCTGGGGGTTGTGAGGTTAAATAGTATGTTCCCCCCACACACACCCCATCAAATCTGAGGTTGGCAAATTTCGGGGATGCAGCCCGCGAGGTGGCCTCCGCTTTGCACCTGGAGGGGGAGCTGAGGCGTCCTGGGAATCCGAGAGAAACTGACAAGCGCGCCCGTATATCCCCCAATTCACACAACAGCCCAAAGGGAGCGGACGGAAGAAAGAGCTCGGTCACCCCAGCCCCCGAGGTCCAAAAATACCTTCATTTCCTCATTGATCTCCCTTTTCACTGGGTGAGCCGGTTTCCTGCTCCTTTTATTTTCCGGAGGTCTCCCTTCTTTCTCCATTTCTGCCATGTTTTTGTGTCTGGTTTCTGTGGAGATGAAATGGCTGCTGCCGCCGCCGGCGGTGGTGGTGGTGGTGGTGGTGGTGGCAGAGGTGGAGGTGGTGCTGATGGTGGCAAAGCTGGCGGAGGTAGCGGTGCTGGCGGGGCCGGGGCGGGGAGGGGAACGCGGGCGCTTGGAGAAGCGGGGTCCGGTCTAGCGGCGGAGAACGTCAGTGGCTGTCAGAGGGAAAGGTAGCTCGGAGAGTCTCGGGGATGCCGCCGCCGCCGCTCCAGCCTCCGCCGCCGCCACCGCCAACGCCACTGCCGCCGCTGCCCGTGCCGCCGCCGCCGCTGCTGCCGCTCCCGCTCCCGCCGCTGCCGACGCCGGGCTGCATCCTCGGTGCCCCACGGAGTCGTCAGCCATCTTCCGGCGCTCGGTAGGTCTGCATGGGCGAGGGGAGCGAGGGCCGCGCGCAGAGAGCTGCTCTGGGCGTGCGTGCGTGGATGTGTGTGCGCCCGGGAGAGCCCGCCAGCCGCGGCGCCCAGCGCCTCGGGAGAGCAGAGCCGGGGGCGGGCCGGGGGCCGGCGCGGGGAAGGGGGCGGAGGGAGGGAGCAGGGGCGCGGAGCGGGCCGAGGGAGGGGGAGAGGTGGGGGGGACTGGGCCAGCCCCCAGCTCCGGAGCGGGCGTGGCTTCCCCGTCACTGTAGACGCCGCTGCTGCGCGGCTCTGGGGGCTGCTCGCGGCCGCCTGCTATCCTCACTGGCCGGGCGCTCGGCGGCGCCCCTCGCGGCCGCCACCTCCCCGCGACGCCCGGTGCGCGCCCGCCTCTCTCCGAGCTCCGGGACCCCGCTCCAGTGGGTTTTGGGTTGCCTGGGGTATCTGTCCTAGAGGCTGCGGAGGAAAGAGGGTTCAGGGAGCAAGCCGAGCGTTGGAAGGGCGCGCAGGAGGCCTGCTTCACACCCCCACCCCCGGGGAAGGCAGAGCTAGCCGTCCGCCCCGGTCTGGCAACGCCGGGGAAACGGTAAAACCACAGCCCAGTCCCACCCCTCAGATGTCAGGATCGAGTGTCCTGCTCCGGGGGCCACCGCAGACCGCGTGGAGCCCGGAGGCCCCTTAGAGAGGTCCCCAACGCGGCGCGCCCTCCGATAGCCAGGAAGCTTTTGCCAGAGAACGTCTTAAAGTAGGACAACTAAGCCTTCAGCATCTCTCCTCTCTCTCTCTCTCTCTCTCTCTCTCTCTCTCTCTCTCTCTCCTTTTTCTCTCTCCTCCTTTCCTCTCTCTCTCCCTCCTTTTTCTCTCTCCTCCTCTCCTCTCCTCTCTCCTCTCTCCCTCCTTCCCTCCTTCCTCTCCTCTTCCTCCCTCGATCCTCCTCCCCCACGCGAGCACACTTATGCCCCGTTACAAAGCGGCATCTTTACCTGTGACCCCGCGCACACCCTAATCAGGATGCTCAGAGTTTAACAGAAAAGGTTGGGCTTAGTGGGTACCGCTGTGCGCTCGGGGTCCTGCGTAAGATCTCTCTCTCCAGGAGCACGGCGCCCTCGCCACACCCAGCGTGGACCCTCTCTTCCCACTCGGTTCCACTCTTTCCGCCTGCTCCAGAGTGGATCTCATTCTCTACGTTCTCATGTGTCCCCGCCTCCCCTTTGGCCCCCTCGGTTCATGTCCCAGGCCAAGGGGACGTTCCGCTGTGTCTGGCCCAGTCTTTTGAGTTGAGGTATTGGAGTAAACCGTTTGGTTAGACTTCTGAGACACGCGGCCCAGAAAGCTCCTACACGCTGCAAAGGGACACGTTTACGTTCCCGGCTCAGCTTTCCCGCGCCGCGACACCTTCTTATTATCTGACACAATGTGATAAAAAGAAGGGAGTGGAGGGGTGTCCATTGTTCCACTGCTTGTTATTATGAAGTGTTCATTGTGACAGTGGTGGAATTTAAAATTACACATTTTTAAGTACTTACAATGAATTCTGTGTGGGGGTGTGAGTAAGCTTTCCATTAAAAATCTCAGTTCCGCCTGTCAAGTGGGGCTCATTTGGGGTATTTTGTTGCCTAATTTGCATTTTGTCATTATTTTTTTCTTAAGGAATACTGAGCACCCCAAGTTACCTGTTTAGCATTTTAGCATAATTTTGTTTGCTACACACCAAGTTCCAAATATTTGGGAGCATACCTCGGAAAGCATCTTCTGTGTGCAGGGGCAGTGCCGGAAAGCCTGTCCTTTCCTGATGGCTGTCTAGATCCCAAGGGAGTCAAGAGGCTTAGAAAACCTTGCCGAGCTAGCTCCAGCTTGCAAGGAGTCCCCGTGAAACACTTGCACCCAGGAAAAATTTACATACTTGGGGCACTTAGCATGGATGCAAGATGGATGGAGAATGAAGAAGCACTCTGAGATACAGTGTCATGTCTGTGAGATTTTCCCAGTGGCCTCTGGGTGCATACCCAGGTGGACCCTGCTTGGGAATCCCTAGTCCTCTGACTGGGTCTGAGAATGTGCAGTAAACCTTGGCAAACCCTCTCTGACCCAGCAGGAAGAAGGATGAGAAGAACCCAAACCTCCCCTTCCCAGACCATTAACCTGATATTCCAAATGTCTATGTGGTGGGTTGCATCCTAAGAGGGGAGTATCTCCATGACACTGTTGCTGGTAGGGAAAAAGAAAGGGGGTGTCTTTGGATTTTTTTATCTGAATTTTACCCCAAACAAATAGCATGTGGATTGGAGTGAGTTTGTTCTGTTTTGTCCTCTTGGTCTTTAGCTAGAGAAATAGAAAACTTTTTAATTTTTTCAAATATTTAAAAACTACAGACACATATGGTAAAACTGTATTCAATAGGAAAGCAAAACATATTTAAGTTCCCTCTGTTTCCTTTGGTACTAGAGCCATCACAATTCACTGTTGTTCAGCTGATACAACTTGAAGGTATATACCCCAAGTCTTAAGATACAATTTCACAAGTCAAGAATAAAGTAAACAGAAAAAGTAAACTATAGCCCAGAGTTATATTTAGAAGCAGCTGTACTTCCTTTAAAGAAAATAGCCCTGCTGTTTAATAAAAATTACATTAATCAGTCACCTGTTCTTTGCAGTAATATGTCCTCCAGAAAACTGAGGTAAGAAGGTTTCATTAGAACCCAGAAATCACATCTTTACTGACAGCAGTAGCTCATAAAATATGGATGGTCTTGGGCTGAAGAGATGGCTTAGCAGTTAAGAACACTGGTTGTTCTTGCAGAAGACCTGGGTTCGAATCCCAGCACCCACATGAGAGCTAACAACTGTCCATAACTCCAGTTCCAGGGGATCTGACGGCCTCTTCTGACCTCCGCGGGCATTGCACAACACAGGTGCACTTACCTACATGCAGGCAATACACACATACACATAAAATAAAAATAATAAATAAAAATAAAAAATGCATGGTCTTGCATGAACTTAGAACTATGGTTGCTACATATTCATGAATCCAGATTTTTCTAAATGTGCTATGGATGAAGACAGTTATAACAAGAGTTACTATTTTATGCATTTGGAATTTTGAGTCAAGTAATTTTTCTTGGATAACTTTGTTGCCTGTGAGAGTTTATAACGCTATGGGTAGGAACAATAACATAAATTGTATCTGAAGACTCCTCTCCCTCCACCCCTCCTCACCCCACACACCACCCAAGCCTCCAAGTATACAATTAGTCCTCAATTTTCCCTCCTATTAACCCAATATAAGCACAGGACTGATCTTTCCTATGTTCCTGAGGTACATTTTTGTGAGTTTTTCCCTCTTCAGAGCTGTTCTTGGTGTTTATTTTAGCCTGCTTAACACATCAGAGAACAGACAGAAAGACCCAGGGTGATCTGCTTTTTTGTTATCACCAAGAACTGATTAGTGTATCCTAATTTTAAAAAACACTTAAAATATATTTTCCTGTATAGTGTTTGGAAGTAGTGTTTACCTTAAACAAGTTTTGTAACCTAGCTAAAGGTGAGGATTAAAATATGTGGAATAATTATGATGCTGAACACATTAGAGGAATTATCTGTTACTATTCATAAAACTCTATAAAGCCACTTCTGTTATCGCCATATCCCATAAGGAAGCTAAACCTCACTTATACAAGCTACTAAGACACAAGCTAATAAGCACTGGAGTTTGGATTCGTAAGTTCCTGTCCAGCCTCAGCTTTGTTGCTTTTAATACTATGCTCATCTAATTTAATGAATTCCCGTGACAATCTATATTTTACCTAATCTAAGGCCCATATTTTCACAAATCTAAGATTAAAATACATCTTATTCTGAATTCTTACTATTTTAATTGTTATCTACTATTTGCCAATGGTTTATAAACCATTGGGACTGGAGAGATGACTCAGGGGCTAAGAGCACTGGCTGCTCTTGCACAGGACCCAGGATTGATTCCCAGCACCCACATGGCAACTAACGACAGTGTGCAACTCCAGTTCTGGGGGACCTGACACCCTCTTCTGACCTCCATTGGCATTGTACAACATGGGTGCACTTACATACATGCAGGCAATACAATTCATACACATAAAAATATTTTTTTTAAAAAAACAAAGATTTGTATTGCTTGCTCTAACAAAGTCAGCTAAAGGATCTGTGTGGCTCTCATTAGCAAGTAGCCACAGGTAATGTCTTAGTACTGTCCTTCAGACCTATGAATGTATCCACAGTCACTGTAGTGAAAGTGGAGACCTGGGGAACTTCACCTGGCAGTGATGTATCCATTGGAAAGAATTTGTCACACAGACCTGACCAACCTATAGAGAAGCTGGAAAGATTAGTCCTTCCAAGTCTTCCAAAAGATAGGAAAACTAAAGACAAGTATTCAAATGTGGCCATTAGGATCCATCAGTATAAATATTAGGGATCTATTTTATTCAAACCAAATGAACCAATTGATATATTTTTAAAATTCCATTTATAAGACATTATGCAATTATGTTTAATTGCAAAGAACAAAATCCTAGACTCAATTTCAAGAACTCTCAGAAACAGCATACTTTCAGCATAGTAGCTTAACTATGGGCTATAAATAAGCTTCCAGAGGTCAGAGATGTCTGAAATTATACACAAAACCTTCATTGTGTTTTCTTCCTTGTTAATGGGTACCTGTCTGTCATGAGATGCTCAATTTGGATTTATTGTTTATTCATTCATTAATTCAGTAAATATGTGTTGAAGGTCTGGACACTGTTCTGGATGTTTGGGATCCAGGAGGAAACATGACAGACAAGTTCTCAAATCTCACAAACTGTTTGTCTTTGTGTGTGTGTGTGTGTGTGTGTGTGTGTGTGTGTGTGTGTGTGTGTGTGTATGATAATCTTGCTATGTAGCCTAGGCTGGCCTGGAGTTCAAGAGCTTCCTACCACAGCCTCCACACGGCTGGGATTATAAGCATGTGACATCATGCTCAGACCTCATGAATTTTAGACTCTGCAAAACAATACACCAACTAATGAAGAAGAGGATGTCATTTTGTTAGTAAGTTAGTTTGTTACTTTTAGGACAGGATTTATTTCACTCTGGTAGCCCAGGCTGGCTTAGAACTAACTATGTAG